TACTGAAGTAACTATTTGTATGTGTTGTAATGAATCATATTTTTCAATGTTTAATCGTCGTCATCATTGTCGTCGTTGTGGTCGTGTTGTATGTAAAACATGTTCACAAAATCTGACAATAATTAAAAATCGTCCTGAACGTACATGTAAAGATTGTTATCAATTTATGCGAAATAATCTAACACCAACAACAAATACTCGTCAAGAAACAAATATTCCAATAAAAAAAATTGAAAATTTTCGACCGTAAATTTTAATTTTATAATCTATTTTAATTTTTATTCTTGATTAGAATCAAGACATGCCTATAGTGTTCAAGATCATTTTTCATTTCTTTTTAATGTTATTTATACATATAAATAATCTAACAGAGAAGAATTTAATAGTAGTTAATAAGAAGAAAAGAGTACCAACAGTTTTGTATCAAAAACATGTAGTCCACAAAATAGTCCATCTATAAAAAAAAATGAATAATCTTTTCAAGATCATCAGTTAAAAGGAAACGACAGTAGCCTTGAAAATTATACAATCTATAGACCTGCTCTTGTCCGTTAATTCAAACATTTTTTGAGATTCTCTACTTTCTATGTTATGCATTGATTGATTCCATTTCAAAACAAGAAAATATAGTATCATCAAAAACACTAACGATAATTTGGCATATTTCATTTATGAGTATATCAATCCTCTGTAATCTTACGACTCCTTATCAAACGAACAGAAGCTTACAAAGGAACTGAGATTTCTTTTTCTTGACAGTTCATTGATGACTAGAATAATGAATAATTAAATATGAAGAAAACTATCGAGTTTCAGATTCGATTTGGATTACATATGAGTTGTAAAAAATTAAATTCATTGAGTGTAATAAATAGACAAAAAGTATTCTGTATGATTCTTAATAGTTGATTAGTTTGATCGGTTTTTATTTTTAATTCTAGCCTTTCAAGATCAATCAGTACATTTAAAAGACAATCAATAAGTCAAGTTTATTTAAAAAAAAATGGACACTCTGAATTAAAATCAAATGATCTTTTATTAGGTACATCACTTGTTAGTAATAGTTCAAGTGATGGAGAAGATCAACCTTTTCTATTAAGTTCAAGTTTTTCAACAGCAAGTCCATTATTGAAAACAAATAAATTCAATCGTCGAGGATCAACTGATTTAACTCAAAAACAAGATAATGATGATATTCCAACAATACCTGTTGTTAATGATCAAGTTCATTATCAATTAACAGGAACATCAACTGATGAAATAATACGTAATGATTTTCATTATGATCAATCACCAAGTATATCATTATGTTTATCATTAATTGAATTACATTCTGATCAATATCAATGTGGTAAATTATTAATAAAATTATGTGAATATTTATCTGAACAATTATCAACAAAACAACGTAATAATGAAATTGATTATGGTTTAGTATTAAATATAATAAAAAATCTTTTATTTACTGCTAAAATGAAATTAATGACAAGTACTATAAATGATGAACAATTAGGTGAACAACAAAAATTAATAAATTCATGTGATATATATAATAATCTTGTTGATATATTAAATCGTTTAAATATGGCTAATTGTTCATTACCAATTTTAAATGATCTTTTACAACAAGATACATTAAGAAAAATTCGAAATAAATTATTAGATGATGAAAGATATCAATTAGCAATGGATATTTCAACAAGATGTAATTTAGATACACAAACAATTTGGTTTCAATGGGGAATGGGTAATTATTTAATTTCATCAGTTATTGATCTAATCAATAGTTTATTTAATAAAAATAGACGCCTTGATCGTTATTAAACTTAAATAAAGTAGAGTCTACTTTGATTAATTGTAGATTAAAAATAAACTATAGATGATCATTTCTGTTGCTATACCTGATGAGACTAAAGTATAGATGGACCTAAAATCTCAGAAATAAAAAAACATATTTAGATTCTATGCTGTTGAAAAATCAGAATAAATTACAAATTTTCTATAGAAATTAAGACAATTTTCAGGATATAATCACAAAACATTTGAAGATCGAAACTTGATGATCAATTTATATTATTACCATAAGCTTCTATCAAATATTCGAACTATTTAAGTTTTTCAATTTCTCGTATTTATTTTTATCTAAAAAAAAAAAAGACAAAATCATTTCATTGTTCGTTATGTAGAAACATGCATTGAAAAAGTGTCGAATTATCATTGCTATATTTTTCTTAACTTTAATTCTAATTATTTATTTTGAAATAGCTTATCTTCACATTGGTCAATATATTGAAGCTCGTGATAAATTTGATAAATGTTTACAAAAAAATACTGATACAACTGATTCAATATCAAAACAACAACAACGTAATAGTTTAAGTCAAGAAAAAATTTTAAATGATATTATATCATATCTTGAAGCATCACTTCCATTAAAATATTCTATGAAATGTCAATATTTAACCGAACAACAGATTCGACAAGCAAGACAAACACGTACTAGTTTAAAATATCTTAATAGTCTTGCAACAATGCCACATTTATTTGATAAACCAAATAAAGGTTATTATTTTTTTTTCTTTCGAAATTCTTTAAATCTAATAAAATAATTTATTGTTTTTTTTTTTTTTGTTAAATAGCAATTCAAGATGAAATTTTATTTTATTTAACAACTTATAGTGATGATGGACATTTATTAGATTATTATATTCGTCATGAATTTTATACTCAAGCATTTGAATATAAATGTTCATTAACAATATTTCGTGATCATATATATATGCCATTATTAAAACGTAATCATTTAAAACATTTATTTAATTATATATTATCACATAATAATATGAATACATTTACACATCATTTAAAATTTATTTGTACATATTTATATGAACAAGAAATGTATAATTCATTACAACAATTACAATTATTTATGAATGATTTTATAAATGCAGCAGTTACATCGATTAAATTATTTACTTTACATCGAACAACATATATAGATTTATTTGAAAAACGTTTAAATTATTTACAAAATGCTTTAGAATGTTTTCAACAAGGAAAAATTGATACAGAACAAACAATGATAAAAATACAAAGGTATTGAAATTTTGTTTTTGTTTAGATTAAGAAATCTATGATTATGAAAGTTATAGTAAGAAAAAAAAAAGAATTAAGATCGAAATGAAGTTTCTACAGAGTTTCACACATATTTCATTGTATTTCTATGAAATTAATACTTTGTATTTCTTCAACAAGAAATAGAACACGTTCTACTTTTGTATAATAAAACTACCTGTTTACTTCGTAACTATTGATTATTCCAAATAAAATCGTTTTTATATTTGAGTCTACATGTTACGAAAATAGAATCTTGTGGAAGATTTTGAAAATAAAATGAGATTTGAGACTAGAAAAAAGTTAGTTTCATAGGACTCTATAAGAAAGTATTAACAATTGTCTAGAATAAAAAATTTCCGATGTCTGACTTTTCTCTCTTTCATTCTCAGATTTTATAAAAATCGATTCACTTATTGAAATAACATAAAATATACAATATTGTACTGTTTATATTTTCGACCATAGTTTTGAGATTAATATAAAAATAGATCAAAAGGAATTTATTGTGTTTCCGAAAGAAATATAATTTCGAATAAATTTTGAACTCTATGAATAAAAACTTAAGCATTTTCATACAAGATAACTTTTACTTTTGTATATTCTTAAAGACAAACTGTCATATTTTAAACAACTATGATTTAAAGTTGTTTTCTTTTTGTATTGATGATTACAGATTCTAATATATTTTTCTTCTAAGAAAATAATTTATACCAAATAATTATTAATACTCTTCAATGACTTAATGTAGTCATTTGTTTATTTTGAAATTGATAACAAGTCTATTAAATTAGCATGACATAAGATCTTTAAATATAGCCATTTCGTGGATGATACATTAAGCAATATCAAAAAAAAAAAACTTATCGGGTATACAACTTTGTTATTTTCAAAACTTCATATTTATATAAATTTGAAGAATAATATCTTTTCCGTTAAAATTTTAGTACTATAAATAAAGTTGAACTTCAATTGGAAATAACTCGTTATATTTATACACAATTAAAACGACTTAATACAAATGGTGCAAATATATTAATTAATTGTCCAACAGTATTTGATGGAAAAGAAACAATATTTAAACTTATGTTAGGTTTAATAGCAATATCTGATACAATGGCAAATGCATTCAATTTAATTAATAAAATAATCAAAGTAAAATTTATTTATTTATTTTTGTATTTTATATTTAAATTTTTTTCTTTTTTAGGAAATGAATTATTCATCAACAGAAGTATTTATTCCATGTGCTGAACAAATTGGTAAACATCGTGATTATCGTTCTCTTCAACAATTCCTTCAATTAGTACGTGAAAATGGTTATACTGATAATAAATTACATGATGATATTATTGAAAGTTGTATACGACAATCTGGTTCTGATATTGAACAAGTAAAATCAACGAATAGAATTCTTCTATTTTTTTTTTAATATTTTATGTTCTTTTGATTTTCTAGAGTCGAGAACAAGATACATTAATTCAAATGATTAAAAATGATGATACTCGTATAAATGTTTATATTGGTGTTGGTAAATTACGTGCTGCTTATTTAATAGCTATTCGTCTTGGAAGAGAAGATAAAGTTCGTTTAATTCGTGATGATGCACAAAAAAGTGGTCAAACAGCTGTTTATGATATATGTAAAAAATGGTTAGAAAATCGAGCAAGTGAACAGTGAAATTAATCTAGTCTTTCCAATAATAAACTGTAACCGATATTTATTTTAATTTCTGCTTGTGATTATAATATTCCTTTAGGTGATTTTTTTTTCTTTATAGTAATAACACTTTTCTTGTTTAAAGAAATAAAAAAAGCCGCAAATTCGATTTTTAAAGATTATTGTGATTTCTTTTAGATTTTGAATTTTTTTTGTTTTTTTAGATGTTGGCAGATTTTTTAGAAAAAAATGATATAAAAACATTTAATCGTAAGTTTTATTTAATTGATTAAGTGTTATTGGAACACACTCGACTACTTATATATTTAAAAAATTAGGATTCCAATTATTTTCCATATTTTTAGAATCTTCCAATATGCGAAGTGACTGTCTAAAACTTTTCGAGATTTCAGCAATATCGTTTGTCGATATAGGGGGAATCGATATGTAGAGCTATAGCTTTGTTAAATTGAATAAATATTTCATAGAATAACAATTGAAATTTTCATATTTTGTTGAATCCGTTGACGAGTGCTTTAGACTTTTTGAGTCTTGCTGATAAGGCCGTTCATGTTTATTTATTCTCAACTTACTGTATGAATTTGAATGATTTTCGAACTGATAAGTAACCTTTTGAAAGAAACTTCGAAGGCGACAGGGACTATACATAAAAGCATATTTTACTTTTGCTATCTTCAACAGTGAAAACAAGAAGTCAATGCTTGAAAAAGTACTCACCACTGTTCATTGTCGATCTTTTTTTTTGTCTTAACCGTAATGAAGTTGAATCAAGCTTTTTGTAAATATTCTTAAATGAATAACTAATATAAGATATGCATAGCTAAGCATGCTAACACTCTTAAATTGCTTATTTTAACTATCTATAAACAGAAACTTCTGAGAATAGATTTATCACAAAAAGAAAAACAAACTTTATTCTTTCATCTACGACTATTTCCTTCTCCTCACAATTGGTTTGTACTGATTAATTAATCTTAAAAAAAAATATTATTTAGAATCCATAAATTCTGATCAAATTGATTTACTAAAAGACAATTTAAAACATGAAATTGATGATAAAAAAAATCAAATTTATCAATTATATATAACTAAAACTCAAGATATAAATAAAATTAATTTTCAAACTTCAAAACTTATTGAACAATGTGAACAATTAGAAGTTAAACGTGAAGAATTAATTAAACAAATTGAAGATTATTCAAAATTAGAAAATCATGCACGTCATGTTAATTCTAATTATTATCAAGTTCATCGTTTAAATCAATTTATTAATGGTATTAAAGAATTAGTTCAATTACACAATCATATTCATGGTAAACATTACTCAAAGATTTTCTTTGTTTACTTGTTATTTTGTTTTTGTTTTTTTTTGCTTAAAGAATGTCGACAACTATGTAAAAAAGGTTATTTAAATGAAGCAAAAATTTTATATGAAACTATAGAAAATCTAATTAATAATGAATATTTATTTCCACCTACAAATGATAAATTTTATCAACAACATTATCCATTATATGAAACATTTCAAAGATATGTTAGACAATTACGTACAGATATTTGTCAAACACATCATATTTTATGGAATGATAGTATTGATCGAACAAATAAAAATCAATTAAAAATAAATTTAAATTATCTTGATCAACTTCTTAAATGTATATTTTATGAAGAAAAAGGAGAAAAATTATTAATGGAAAAAAATATTCAATCATTTGCATCATATTGTTTTCAAGGATTTATTCATACATTAATTGAAAAAAAAATGAAATTAATTATCGATGTAGAAACAACAATGATTTTAATAAAAATGGAAAATAATGAAGAAATAGAACAAAATGATATTGAACAATTTAATGAAACATTAAATTATTTAAAGAAATTTTTTGATATATTAAATATACATTTATTATCAAGAGTGATGAAAATTCAAACATCGAAAGACAAGTAATAAATCTTGAAGGTTTTCTTTTTTGTTTAGATAATTTCAATTTTAAAGTCTAGTACAGTCGAAAATTTATATTTCAGAAAACCAAAAAAAAAAAACTAGAACAGCATTGAACTTCTTAGTCTTCAAAATAAATCTCTTTAATATTTTAAAATATTCTTGTTTTATTCTAATAGATCCATTGAATCGATTTCATTAATGACTATATTCTCTTCAACTATCGCCAATGATTTTATTGAACTTATTCGTGAACATTTATTAAATATAATTCCAAATGATTTTCAATATATTGAAATATTTCGTTCATTATTACAAACCGTTGTAGATTTTGAAAAATATTTAAATGAAATAAAATTTTTTTCTGCTAATAAAATCTCAAATATTATTTCTTCTGTTGTTGGAAATATTGATGAAGCAATAATAAAAAGTCGTTGTCGTACATATTTATATCAAAGTCGACAATTACTTCAATCAAATGCAATAATTACAACATCATTAAAAACAATTGAAATTGGTGATAATGAACAATTATTTAAACAAAATGAACAAGATAAAGAAAAATATAAAAATGAAATTTCATCAAATATTTTATCATCAACTATTAGTTTAGATGAATTAGATGCAAATATGTTTCGATTTCCACGTACAATTATTGTGTAAAAACAAAAATTTTCATGTCTTGTTTGAAAGATGAAATTTTTTCGTTTGTTTTTTCTTTTTCTTTCAAGGGAACATGTTTATGAATATATGGAATTTATTCGAACTGTTGTACAAGAAGCTGATAAATTGGAAAATTATGGTGCACATTTATGTGCAACAGCAAGAAATATGATGGAATTGTTTCATGTAATATATGCAAATTTACATGAAAAATCGGCACAAGAATTTCCTTATTTAACTGGTAATGATTAATAATATGAATTTGATTTTTTTTAATTATAATAATGGATAAAATGACCACTTTTAAAACGTTTCAAACTGATTTGATGCAGAATTTTTCCAAAGACTATAATGATATCACTATCTCTTATCTCGAGTCCTGCGAGACAATTCTAAAAATTGTCGGATGAGACAAACGGAATTCGGGACAACATAGAAAATAATCAATGTTTCGAATTTCTTTAACTCCTATGTCAAAACGTGTCGTACAAATATATAATAGAAAAAAGAACAGACAATGAACTAAATTGCTACTCAAACAAAGCCCAAGTAGAAAATGTTGCTGACTGCGCAAGCTCGAAGAATGTCAGACAGCAATCTTACATGACAACTGCTCTTTCTAAATCTTAGACTTCTGTAGAGGAAATCATAATGAATTTTAGTCGAGTTCGACTATCTTGGCTCAGATGATAAGTTAAGAAGTAATAAGTCTAAATGAATTATTGCCATATAAGTAAACTATTGCATATAGCATCTAAATTATCAATGATCATTTTCAAATTGAGTCATGTATGACCATATTATGAAACTTTCAGGTGTTATTTATCATTTCTGCATTTTTATATTCTCCAAACGGAATCAAATTTTTGAAAAAACAGATTTCAGATGTATACTCCATCACATGCTAACGATCTTGGCAAATTTTTTCTTATTTTGAAATAATGGTTAGATATGGAGAACGAGTGGCTGATTTGAGTCGCGACTAATGCATCGAGCAGATGAAGAATTGAAATTTGTTATGCCAATTAAGCGCGTGAGAAGCAATAAGTCAGCTATTACACTTGGTGTAGTTAGCCGAGTTTCAGTGAATGGGATTTGGGACATGAAAAAGTTTGTTCTGCAGAACGCTATTCTTATTGTCTTTTCGTTCTTTGTTGTTAGTGATTTGAAGTTTGTCTGAACAAGAAATTCTGTATCAAATCAGCTTTTAAGGTTTTTTTGAGTCAAAATAACAAATGTAATCTATTTCATCTTGAATTACAATCAAACCGATATATTTTTTTTTATTAAAAATTTAACTGAAAATAGTATCTGTTTAAAATTTATTTATATATTTTTTTTGTAGCGTTACATTTTAATACATATATGTATGTTGCACATGTATGTCTTATTCTTGGTGAAGAATATTATCATTTGAAAACTAAAACAGGTGATGGTCAACCAATAACATTTGTTGATTATGTTCCTATATTTCGTAATCAAGCAGCAAATTTACTTAAATCTCAATTAGATATTCAAAGAGATACATTAACATCTTTTATTAAAGAAATTGGAGGTTTGTAATATTCATTTGTGTTCTTTTCATTATTGTTCTATTTTTTTTTTGTTTTTTTGTATTAAATAGCATTTCATAATATTGCTGATGAAGATGAAAATCAAGATATATTAAAACGAGCTATTAATAAATGCATAATGCATATGGAAAATCTTTCACATAATTGGCGAAATGTATTTTCACCTCAAGTTTATTTTAAAGTTATTGGTAAGAATAATCAAAGAAAAAAAAAACGAAATAAAAATTTTATTTCATTTCTTTTAAAATAAATTAGGATATCTATGTGATCATGTTAGTCATCTTCTTATTAAAGAAACATTATCACTTGAAGATATTCCAGAACAGGAATGTCAAATAATGGTAAATGTTTTTACACAATGGTCATCGTTTTTACAAAATATACTTGTTAAAGATGAACTTAGTCCTGGTTTAAATATTCTTGCTCGTTTAGCACCAAATTTAACAAGATTTAATGAATTATGTCTTGTTTTAAATAGTTCTTTACAAAATATTGTTGATCGATGGTTTAATGGACAAGGACCACTTGCTAGTCAATTTACAGCTTTAGAAATTAAACAACTTATTCGAGCTCTTTTTCAAACATCTGAAAGACGAACAGCAGCTCTCGCAAAAATTCAATAAAAGTTTTTCTTTTTTGTGTGTTTTTTGTTTGTCTTGGGGAAGACATGATCTTATTTCTTGTATTTTCGTAAAATTGTTCTTTTTAAGATAATATATGGGTGCTGAACAGGCTAAAACTCGACGTAAAAAAGGTGTTATCTATTCAAAAGAAAATAATGAAATAGTTGATTGTTTATTTTGCCGTATTGTACGAGGTGAATCACCAGTAAATCCATTATGGTATCGTGATGATCAATGTGCAGTTTTTATACCTAGAGGACCAGCTGGACGATTACATTTGCTAATAGTACCATTACAACATATTCAAACTATTGATACACTTACAGAAGAACATCGACCATTACTTGAACATATGAAAAAAGTAAATATGATAATATTTTCTTTTTTCTAGGATTTTCTTAAAAGAAATATTTTATTTTAGGTAGCAATGGAACAACTTTGTGTGCATGCTCAACATATTGGAACTGTTGAATCTCCACTATTACCTCTCGCACCACCACCATCTCATTATGCATTTAATCGAGGACATTTACCAGTATTGTTGTCGTCATCTGAGATCGTCAAGGATGAGAAAATATCGATGGATCCTTCATTTATTTTTTGTTTTCATCGTCCACCTTATAATTCAATAGATCATCTTCATTTACATGCAATTCAAAAACCTTTTCGAAGTTGTTGGAATCGATTCATGTTTGCAGAACATGCACCTTGGCATGGATCAATGCACAATGTTCTTCTTAATTTATCCTCGGTGAATGCTAAATTATGATATTTTAGATTTATTAGTTTTCTGCGTTGTTTTCAAACAAATATAAATATATTTATATATATTAAGAAGTTTGTCTGTGCAGTTTAATAATCTGCAAATATTTCTAATTTTGGATAATGATATCTCGAACATTTATGCAAAACTGTCTCAGAATAATTGGAACTATTGCTGATTATAGCCATAGTTTAATCAACTAAAATTAAAGTTTTAGGTTTAAATATTCATTTTAAATCATGGTTCTTTTGTTACATGTTTCAAACTTATTTGAGAATAAAGATGAGATATAAATTTAAAGAATCATACTTTATTTTTCAGAATACAATAAATTCGAACGAAAGTATTTAATAATCGATATTTAGTTTTGATATATATGCTAGTCATTTTGTTCAGAAGTATTATGAAGAAACCTTCTGCTATTTGATTGATTATTGTTTTAGATGTAAAAACCATTTCTAACTGTTTACAATAGAAATACATCTAACCAAAGTTTTCTTCAAGAATATGAATACAGATAGTCTTTCAAAATGTTTCCAATATTTGAAACAGCTTTAAAGAAGTAACTTATATTTAATTTGATCAATAAAATGATGATAATTCTCTTATTGTAATGAATTATCCGAATTGAAACCTATTAGAAAACATTTATAGATCTTTGATGGATAAATATAACGTTCACATCTCTATTCTGATCTATTTCTTCATTCATTTGAAATTGTATTAAGTTATCAAGGAATACAAATGTGCATTTTTGTTGTCTCAATTTATCTAGTCATAAGTTTCCAGAAATGACTGAAAAGTACCTATCAAAGTGGAAAATCGATGCTTCCAAGAAAATAAAATGTGAAATATTCATCTATTTGTTGCGGGAAATTTCTTGATCAAATCATCAGTTTGTAACGAAAAGGTTTTAATTGTCAAAAATCACATTTAAAATCCTGACGACATTGCTTTTATCCAAAGCGCTTGATACAGTCTTGACAATAAAAGCGATGGCGTTCTTTGAATTGATTAAATCTTCACTTAAATTGAGAGACGTTTTGGTTGTGTAGTTATTCGATACATTTCTCCATTTCTTTTCGTCACTTTCACTCTCTAAATCACTCTATATCGTTCTCTTCACATCGAACAATATGAGACTCTTGTGTACATGCAATGGAAGAATTATTCTCCCTTGATGGCTGGCTGGTATATATATAGAGTATGTCATTGTAACTTGATCATTTGAATCTACTTCCTACACGTTATTGGCCTTTCAAAAGGTATATATATTATCATGATAACAATCTTAAATAAACTTGAGTTCCGCATATCATTGTCAACAAAAAGATAACACAGTCATCTACCATTCAGTAAATATTGTGAGAAGAAAGTCTCCAGATAATGTTGCTGATTTTTCATTTATGCTCGCTTGATAAAAGGAAAAGATGTAGGCACAAAATTTACAGTTCATTTGCTTGTGCTGCAGGTACTCAAACAAACAAGCAAATTGAAAAAACGATGTTAAAATTAGGGACCTGTATAATCGATTTTTTGGTCACGTTCACTTATCAAGAAAAGAACTTAGCTATCATCACAATCAAAGGTTTTCAGAGATGCAGTGTACTTATATACAGAGGCATGCAATGCCTATCTATGTAGGTTTTATTTCATATTGATTTCTCAAATTTGTGGTCGAATCATAGATAGAATGAAACAAAGATAAAACAGACATGAATTTTTGACAATTGGCACTGATCAAAATAGATCAGATCGGACAGGACTGGTCGGTATACAATTTCATTTTCAAGAGAGTAAAAGCATACTTCTGCACGTCTTGGTAGTTCTACACGTCTGAAGTATAGAAGTGCGCTTTTCTTCCGTTGAGTGACATGCCTTGATAACAGAAAAAGAATAAGAAATAGCACGGCTAACAGAAGAAGTTGCTTCTGTTAGACCAAAAAAGAATAATACTGCACTTAGCCATGACAATAACCCCACTCGTCTACGATTCTATCAGCGAGTGGGTATTTGTGGGTGTAAATGCATGAGGGTGAAGGTTTCTAGTGATGCACCTTAACAGAAGCAATCAACTTCCTAATCTTGATCTTCTCGCAACAGCTCTGTTTTTTCTATTGAGTCTCTTGAGAAAAACAACAACATCGAGTGGTGATTAACAAAAAAAAGTCACCTTGACAAGCTTTGGTTCTGTAGGAAGTGTGTTATTCATGAGTAATATTTTTCATTCTTCACTTTCAAAAGTAGGAAAAAAACCAACTGCTACTGTTAAAAAATGCTAGGAAGTAGGAGAATGAACAGGTATATATAATTTACATTTCTTATCACAACAATATTTCTTTGAGAATATTTCCTACTCAACTAAACTTTTTAACACACATAGATATACAATAAACACAACAGCATCCATCATCGGCCATTACGTTATTTTATTGGTAGTTACATTTCGCAATTACAATAGCAAGTCAAAAATTTCTATCGTCACAGAGATTACTATCAAATGACATTCTTGCAAAGACAACAAACTCAAATTCGTGACATTACAGTACCAGCTAATGTACCAAACAATGACATTGCAAAGATAATGTACTATCTAAATTGTGTCTACTATTGTATCGACTATAATGACAACGACATTCGTCGTTATACAAACTATTCAAAATGAGCATCATTATCTGATGAAGAAGACTACCTCGTCTTTCTTCTTGCTCTGACTCTCAATCCAAATTTATTCATCGGAAAAATCTTTTTTCCAAGTGATGCTCTCAGTCGTGACATGAGTGGTCGATTTTATGAGATTAATCAAGTGAATCACCAACTGGTCGTGGCTCCATCACTTGTAGTTGCAGGACGCACCTGTCATGTCAACAGAATTCTCGCTTATAAACAAGTGTGGCTACAAGATAACTACATCAACCCGATGTGTTGATTAAAACAAAGATTTCTTCCGCGACAACAACAAACTAGTGCTTGTGTAATTTCTTGAGTTTTTGTAACATGTTCTTGAATAAATCAAACAAAAAAATATCTAACTTCAAGTGGTGCAAAAGCTTGTCAGTGCAGTCCCTCATAAGATTAATCCTTTCGGGATGAGAGACGCATATATGCGTCTTACATCCTAAGACAGTTCAAATCTAGGGATGCGTACTAATTATCATTTATGTACTTGGCATTGCTCTATGATTTTGTACGGACAACATATATACGAGCCGTAGCAGTCTTTGAAAGATCAATAACGATGAGTAGAAAGAAAAATTAATTCACTCTAATCAATTCCGTGTTTCATTATTTTACTTGACAAAAAGAATCTCGTTCTGAAATGGTTAACACATGGAATTAAAACAATTATATTTCGGTCCACAGATTGTATTTTGAAGATACTGAGAGCTTTTTTCAATTGAAGAATCTAGGCGCAAACGAATGCGTCTCTGCCAATCTATTTCTTTCGGATATTTTCTGCATGCTTTGACCATGTAGGCACTATTAGTTCTTCTTCAAGTGTTACTATACTGATGTCGACCATTTTCTGTTTTCGTTTCATTGTCTGGAACTCAACATATGAGCCAGTTCACATAAGCTACGACCGATTCTCAGAGAAGGTGCTCAAGCAAAGGTTTCAGACTTTTCTAAATCTAATATATATCGATGCGTACGCTCTGGTCCACGCATCTACCCTAGGCAACCTGCAAGTTTTGAAATTCACTTTATTTCTGCTGCATTTGACCATTAAACATTAGTAAGAAAACAATCACAATGATGTATTAATAGAATTCATCATATTACTCTTCTGAATCACTCTCACAAAACAACGCTATGTTTCTTGATTTAGTATGTCCTGGATTGCGGATTAAATCCTAAACGATAAAGTTTGCACCATCATTTGTTAGTTCAATATCAAGACTAAATAGTTTGACAGATATTTCGAAATTGTATTGTTCAGTCGATTTCACCATCAAGACTTGATTCTTCGTAAAACACTGAGCATTCTTTCCGCTTCATTCGAGCTGATTGCGAATGGGTCAAGTATTTGATGTAATTTGGTACAATTGTGAGCATTGTTCAGTTCAATAGCCATCTAATTGAGAAAGATATGAATCTTGTCTTTCAAATGCTTATGATTCAGTAAACATTGGTTAGTTCATTCATAAATTTTATTATTAACATCCTTATGACGGTATAGAATGGTCAATGTTGATTTACGAACTAATGGATTCGCGAGTAATTCTTGTGGTGATAGCTTCAATGAAGAAGACAAAATGTATAGATTATGGATGATCTCCTTCACTGTATTGTTGAAATAATCATTCAATGATTGAAGAAAAAATTCAGTGAAATTTCTTCCAATGTCTTCTAACTCATCTTCATCAAAATTGGTATTTTCAGACTGTTTTTGTAAACGTATTAAATGTGATGTAGGCTATACTGATGGCGTGTACATTTGGATATCACCCAATGTTGTTCGAAGTTATCTTACGCATGTGCGATTGTCTGTTGGGTTGAGCAACGTTTAGTGAGAATTGACTTAGACATAAACCAAGCTTCTCGATTTGTCGCAAAAACTTCACAGATGCTCTGACAACATCTCGAAACAAATGTATCTCGAATTCAGTAATCGCGTTCATCAAATCTAGTGTATAGCGACGACCATATGAAGAAGTGATCGCTTTTGACTGAGAAATTGTTATGAATGTCAAAATAATCGCTGTATAATGTTGCCATATAAATCAGACAATTTAGTATAACTATAATCATCGAGTTTTGCTCGAAGATCGGTGAGTGAATGAAGAAAAGATTCATTCACCCTCACTCATGCACTATTTTCACAAATGATTGAAATTAATGAATTTCAAGGCAGTTTTACAAAACTTTGATTGATGATGACACATTGCATGTTTTGATTTGGATTACTGAGAACGCACTATTGCGATAGAGATCAACCCAAGTTTATGAAGAGTCTGATGATGATTGTTTAACGATTTGTAAGTAACTACGCGTTGTTAGATGTT